TTTGGCCTTCCTCTTCGCCTCCTGCCTGGCAGCTCCATGTCCAACATTCTCCTACCAATATACTCCCTCTCCCTCCTCTGAACATGTCCAAACCATCTTAATCTGGCCTCCCTAACTTTGTCCCCCAAACGTCCAACATGAGCTGTCCCTCTGATGTACTCGTTCCTAATCCTGTCCAACCTCGTCACTCCCAAAGAGAGCCTCAACATCTTCAGCTCTGCTACCTCTAGCTCTGACTCCTGTCTCTTCCTCAGTGCCACTGTCTTTAAACCATACAGCATGGCCGCTCTCACCACTGTCTTGTACACCTTCCCCTAAACCTTCCCCTATCACACAGAACTCCCGACACCTTTCTCCACCCATTCCAACCTGCCTGCACTCGTTTCTTTACCTCTTTCCCACACTCTCCATTGCTCTGTACTGTTGACCCCAAGTACTTAAACTCCTGTATCTTCTTCACCTCTTCACCCTGTAATCTTACTGTTCCACTTCCTTCCCTTTCATTCACACACACGTACTCAGTCTTACTACGACTGACTCTCATTCCTCTTCTCTCCAGCGCAAACCTCCACCTCTCCAGGTTTTCCTCCACCTGCTCCCTGCGCTCACTACAGATCACAATGTCATCCGCAAACATCATTGTGTAAGGAGACTCCTGTCTGACCTCCTCTGACAACTGGTCCATCACCATAGCAAACAGGAAGGGACTCAGAGCCGATCCCTGGTGCAGTCCCACCTCCACTTTGAACTCCTCTGTCTGACCTACAGCACACCTCACCACTGTCCTGCTCCTCTCATACATGTCCTGCACCACTCTGACATACTTCTCCACTACTCCTGACTTCCTCATACAGTACCACAGCTCTTCTCTTGGCACCCTGTCATACGCTTTCTCCAAGTCTACAAACACACAGTGCAACTCCCTCTGACCATCCCTACACTTCTCCATCAACATTCTCAGAGCAAAAATCGCATCTGTTGTGCTCTTTCTGGGCATGAAGCCATACTGCTGCTCACAAAGGAATAAACCCATTCAGGATGTGCTGTTATAGAAAAAGAACCTTTGGGGTGGTAACAGTTACTCAGCTTCGTGTCACTTCATCATTGATTAATTTCCTATAACAGCATACCCCCCCAAGTGTTGCATTCCTTACATATTAACTTTAATTACAGTGATTGATTGATTTATATGAATGCATAGACTGTTGCTGAGTTTTCCAAATTCTGCTCGTCTCTGTAGATATCTCCATGTCCTGATGATATTTTGGTTTTTCCTGGCTGGAGCGATCACCTTCTACTGCTCGCTCAGTCCCAACAGCCTCGTTCCAAATGTCCTGATTTCCATAACGACCAAGGATAAAGTAAGAGCCTGCCTTTAGAAGTTCTTGTTATTTCCTCATTATGGTGAGTCTTTGGGAAAATTGACCCGTTGCTGTCTTCCTGTGTGTGTGTGTGTGTTTGTGGCGCAGCAGCAGCAGCAGCAGCAGGAGCTCTTCCCACAGGGCCACAGTTGTGCAGTTTGTGGGAAGAACAAGTGCAGCCGACACAGGTAGAGTATTGCAGCACTGTCGTTCAAGCACAGAGCGGCGGTGAACATTTTTTTTTTTTTAATTCATTTGATACATTCTCTGCTCGCGCACTGCTCTGCCATGCTCATATGCTAAACAACTTCCCTTTAATAAAGCCCAGTAGCCTGTTTGATGGCGATACAACACTGAGTATGTCAAGGTGAACTTCACCAATGAAAAACAGATACTGTTGCAAACAAAAAATTGGTTTATTTGATACTTTTACAAGAAATTTGTCTAGGGGTCTAGGGACTAGTGGTTAGGCCACAGTGCTCTCACCGCTGCGGCCTGTGTTCAATTCCCGGCCAGGGAACCGACCCCAGCCACTGGCGTTGCGTACAACAGTGCGCTCTCAGTGCCGGTCCCAAACCCAGATAAAGTTGGGGAGGGTTGCGTCAGGAAGGCCATCCAACATAAAAACTGTGTCAAATCAAATACGCGGACCAGTGATCCGCTGTGGCGAACCCTAACAGGAGCAGCTGGAAGAGGAACAACAAGAAGAAATCTGTCTAAGAAATAAATATGATTTTTTAATTTTTTATATAAAATGATCTATTCATTTTCCGTTGTCCTAATTACATTTAGAAAACCAGTGATGGCGTAAAAATCCCTTAAAAATTATTATTGTTTTTTCAGCTGCTGTATTTAGAAATATAGTGTATTGCATTATTCATTATTCAGCTCAGAGCTGGTTGGGAAATGCCAGATTCAGTTTCTGGTTGAAATGTGCCCGAGGCTAAAAACCCCAGAATTGCACTGATGCAGTTTTCAAAAATCGACTGATGAGCCACACTTCGAGAGTTTCTAGCGCTTCTTAAAAACACTTTT